TTGGATACCCAGAAAATAAAAAAGAGTCTCTAAACAATAATTACCAAGGTAATTTAGCAAGGTTACTCAATGTGTGGTCAATATATAAAATTTAATTGAATTTCTACATATATGTATATGACATATATAAACATGTAATACTATTCTTAATGCTACAAAATTATCCAATACTAGGAATAAACCTACAAAATATGCTAAAGAACCTTATGCAAAAACCATAAAATATTGCAATAAATTAAAGAAAATGTAAATAAATGGAGATATATATCATGCTGATGGATTGGAAGATTCAATATTATAATGATGTCAATAATTCCCAAATTCATCAATAGCTTCAATGCAGTACCAATGCAAATCTCAACAGAGTTTTTGAAACTGACAAGCTGATTCTTCCATTTATAAAAATATGCAAAAACCCTAGAATTACCAAGACACATTTGAAGAAAAACCAGGAGGAAGTACTTGCTCTCCTGGATATTAAGATATACATATTTAATAAAATGTGTCACTGGCATAAACAAATAGAGATTGGATCAGAACAGAGAACAGCGAAACAAGACCCCCCTTCTATGGACATGTGTGACTATTGACAAAGATAATGTTGTTGATTATTTCTCTAAGATGATCTTTTTAAAAATGGTTCTGGGTTAGGCCAGGTGTGGTGGCTCATGCCTATAATCCCAGCACTTTGGGAAGCCGAGGGGGGAGGATTGTTTGAGCTCAGGAGTTTGAGACCAGCCTAGGCAACATAGTGAGACCTTGTTTCTATAAAAAAAAAAAATTAATTGGGCATGGTGGTGCCTGCCTGTAGTCCCAGCTACTTGGGAGGCTGAGATGGAAGGATCACTTGATGCCAGGAGTTAGAAGCTGCAGTGAGTTGCAGTTGTGCCACTGCACTCCAACCTGGATGACAGAGACCAACCCTGACTCAGAAAAAAAGAACGGTGCTGGGTTAATTGAATATCCATATTGGAAAAATCCTGTCTGCTACCTCAAATATTAATCCCAGGTTGGTTATACACCTTAGAGTAAAAGGCAAAGCAATAAAAATTTTAGACAGCAATAAGGAGAATATCTTTTTTTTTTTTTTTTGAGTTGGAGTCTCACTCTGTCGCCCAGATTGGAGTGCAGTG